TCAAAAATTAGATTTTTATTTTTTTGATGCCAATCGATAGTACTGATCCTTACGAGTCGAAAATGGTATAAAATTCCCAAATCGAACACTATTTGGCCGAGATATTCAAAAAAATCTTCAAAAAAGGTTGACTTTACAAACCATTTGGTTTTTGGTCAACCACTTTTTTTAACCCATCGAGTTTTAAAATGTTTGAATGCAGATTGATAGTAGGGATCCCTACGAAAACAAAAAGGTATAACATTTCAAAATCGGACAGCATTTACCCGAGATATTCAATAAAAATCATCAAAAAAGTTTCGATTTTCGAACCGACCCCGAATTTGAGAAAAAACGTGATGTAACCCCTTGCCATTTTGATGATTTTTATTTTTTTGATGCCAATCGATAGTACTGATCCTTACGAGTCGAAAATGGTATAAAATTCCCAAATCGAACACTATTTGGCCGAGATATTCAAAAAAATCTTCAAAAAAGGTTGACTTTACAAACCATTTGGTTTTTGGTCAACCACTTTTTTTAACCCATCGAGTTTTAAAATGTTTGAATGCAGATTGATAGTAGGGATCCCTACGAAAACAAAAAGGTATAACATTTCAAAATCGGACAGCATTTACCCGAGATATTCAATAAAAATCATCAAAAAAGTTTCGATTTTCGAACCGACCCCGAATTTGAGAAAAAACGTGATGTAACCCCTTGCCATTTTGATGATTTTGGTCAAAAATTAGATTTTTATTTTTTTGATGCTAATCGATAGTACTGATCCTTACGAGTCGAAAATGGTATAAAATTCCCAAATCGAACACTATTTGGCCGAGATATTCAAAAATATCTTCAAAAAAGGTTGACTTTACAAACCATTTGGTTTTTGGTCAACCACTTTTTTTAACCCATCGAGTTTTAAAATGTTTGAATGCAGATTGATAGTAGGGATCCCTACGAATTCAAAAAGGTATAACATTTCAAAATCGGACAGCATTTACCCGAGATATTCAATAAAAATCATCAAAAAAGTTTCGACTTTCGAACCGACCCCGAATTTGATAAAAAACGTGATGTAACCCCTTGCCATTTTGATGATTTTGGTCAAAAATTAGATTTTTATTTTTTTGATGCCAATCGATAGTACTGATCCTTACGAGTCGAAAATGGTATAAAATTCTCAAATCGAACACTATTTGGCCGAGATATTCAAAAATATCTTTAAAAAAGGTTGACTTTACAAAAGAATCTGTTTTTGGTCAACCACTTTTTTCAACCCATCGATTTTTGAAATGTTTGAATGCAGATTGATAGTAGGGATCCCTACGAAAACAAAAAGGTATAACATTTCAAAATCGGACAGCATTTACCCGAGATATTCAATAAAAATCATCAAAAAAGTTTCGATTTTCGAACCGACCCCGAATTTGAGAAAAAACGTGATGTAACCCCTTGCCATTTTGATGATTTTGGTCAAAAATTCGATTTTTATTTTTTTGATGCCAATCGATAGTACTGATCCTTACGAGTCGAAAATGGTATAAAATTCCCAAATCGAACACTATTTGGCCGAGATATTCAAAAAAATCTTCAAAAAAGGTTGACTTTACAAACCATTTGGTTTTTGGTCAACCACTTTTTTTAACCCATCGAGTTTTAAAATGTTTGAATGCAGATTGATAGTAGGGATCCCTGGGAATTCAAAAAGGTATAACATTTCAAAATCGGACAGCATTTACCCGAGATATTCAATAAAAATCATCAAAAAAGTTTCGATTTTCGAACTGACCCCGAATTTGAGAAAAAACGTGATGTAACCCCTTGCCATTTTGATGATTTTGGTCAAAAATTAGATTTTTATTTTTTTGATGCCAATCGATAGTACTGATCCTTACGAGTCGAAAATGGTATAAAATTCTCAAATCGAACACTATTTGGCCGAGATATTCAAAAATATCTTTAAAAAAGGTTGACTTTACAAAAGAATCTGTTTTTGGTCAACCACTTTTTTTAACCCATCGAGTTTTAAAATGTTTGAATGCAGATTGATAGTAGGGATCCCTACGAATTCAAAAAGGTATAACATTTCAAAATCGGACAGCATTTACCCGAGATATTCAATAAAATTCATCAAAAAAGTTTCGATTTTCGAACCGACCCCGAATTTGAGAAAAAACCTGATGTAACCCCTTGCCATTTTGATGATTTTGGTCAAAAATTAGATTTTTATTTTTTTTGATGCTAATCGATAGTACTGATCCTTACGAGTCGAAAATGGTATAAAATTCCCAAAAGGTAAATTCAAAAAGGTATAACATTTCAAAATCTGACAGCATTTACCCGAGATATTCAATAAAAATCATCAAAAAAGTTTCGATTTTCGAACCGACCCCGAATTTGAGAAAAAACGTGATGTAACCCCTTGCCATTTTGATGATTTTGGTCAAAAATTAGATTTTTATTTTTTTGATGCCAATCGATAGTACTGATCCTTACGAGTCGAAAATGGTATAAAATTCTCAAATCGAACACTATTTGGCCGAGATATTCAAAAATATCTTTAAAAAAGGTTGACTTTACAAAAGAATCTGTTTTTGGTCAACCACTTTTTTCAACCCATCGATTTTTGAAATGTTTGAATGCAGATTGATAGTAGGGATCCCTACGAATTCAAAAAGGTATAACATTTTAAAATCGGACAGCATTTACCCGAGATATTCAATAAAAATCTTCAAAAAAGTTTCGATTTTCGAACCGACCTCGAATTTGAGAAAAAACGTGTTGTAACCCCTTGCCATTTTGATGATTTTGGTCAAAAATAAGATTTTTATTTTTTTGATGCCAATCGATAGTACTGATCCTTACGAGTCGAAAATGGTATAAAATTCTCAAATCGAACACTATTTGGCCGAGATATTCAAAAAATCATCAAAAAAGGTTGACTTTACAAACGAATCGGTTTTTGGTCAACCACTTTTTTTTAACCCATCGATTTTTACAAGATTTGAATGCAGATTAATAGTAGGGATCCATACGAATTAAAAAAGGCATAACATATCAAAATCAGACAACTTTCAATTATATTAAATCGCGCCCAGAACTATTTTTTACTTCACTTGGAAGGTTGAGAGCTTGTCTTGAATGCATTGTTAGCCAATAATAAAAATTGCATCACTCGATTGATAAGACTTACGTTTCAAGTTTTTGCCAACAAATCTTCATATATTTCCTCGAAGTGAGAGCCGCTAATTTCTGTGCCATATAGTTCGTACATGGGATGGATCCATGTTCCAGTCACAGTCACGCGATGCTAACGAAGCGTTTTGATGGATGGGCTCAGCTTGGCATCGGCGAGGGCGCAGCCCTTTTGGACAGCCTGTCAGCAAAAGTTTGCCATGTAATTGGCAAAATTGTGATGGCGGTTACTGGGTCGATTACCACTTGCCGTACCATGTGGACAGTCTGAAGTGCCATTGTGGTGTCTGCTCTCAAGGTTGGCTTCTTGAGGAACAATTGTGGGAATGGGCTAGGATATGGCCAAGAAATATCAAAGTTTCTGATTGTAAATAAATTAATCTTGAAAAAATCTTGTCTTTTACGTCTTATGAAAATCTATTAAATAGTATTAAATTACGCGAGATATTCCATCTGAACCACATTTTTAATATTTTTGATATCTAACTTAAGTAGTTAAAGTCTGATTTTAAGAAAATATGTCTTGTTGGTCTGTTGAAAGTCTGTAGAATAAAATGGAATCAAACATTTTAAAATATCAGATTCGACCTATTTGTTATAGCTGTGATGTCGTAATCTGTACGGGTCCTGAGATACCCGAGATATTTGAATTATAAAAATGTTCTAAATAAATTTGAACCTCTCTGGGGTACAGTCCCTATATTTGGCATGAATAGAAATTGAAATGTCTTTCTTGATGTCTAAAATGATCGGCGTATAAATGCAGAGAATATCTCAGATTATTAGATGCATTATATCGCACCTTTGACTAGATTACCTTAGAGGAGAACAAAACTCTTGACTAGATTACTTTTGAGGATAAAAAGCTCCTAAGATTTCTGCTAGGCTAGTTCAACAATATATGAATATGAATTTATATTATTTAGTTTTCAATAGGTATGTCAATATATAAATATATAGAGAAATACGTCAGACTTTTATCATAAAATCTGTTAGCAATATACGACTCTAAGCTGGAATTGATTTCCATTATAATATAAGATAATATAATACAATATATACATAATATATATATATATATAATATATAATAAATATAGTATATAATATAATAAATAAATATATAAAAAAAAAGACTTCAGATTCTTATCATAAAATCTGTGAATAATATACGAGTTCAAGCTGGAATTGATTTCTATTATAATAATGTAGTATATAAATATATAGAGAAATACTTCAGACTCTTAACATAAAATCTTTGATTTCTATTATAATAATGTTAATATATAAATGATAAAGAAATACTTCAGACTTTTATCATAAAATCTATAAACAATATACGACTTCAAGCTGGAATTGATTTATGTTATTATATAATATAATATAATACAATATAATAAATATAAAAAAAAAATACTACAGATGTGCAATTGTTGGCCTGAACACTTTGCGTGTTCAATAAAAAGGGAAATGGAAATCAAGCGCAAAATGGTGTCAGTACCCAGTACGGGACAGAGAAAGTACTTAAGCGGCGCGTCACTCAATCACAAAGATATTATTTTTAATGGTGCCGAATTGAACCGGCAACCCACTCACCCCCCCCTTCAGCTGCAATAAACACGATACGCGCCACGCAACTATGGAGGGGGGGGAGGGGCAACTGTTGGTGCTCATCCCTGGGCCCGACCCTGGGCGACTTCTCCGGCAGCAGCTGGCTCCGGTCTCAAATGAAGTTTGGCCGTCAGCGGCGCAGCACGCGAGAGGCCTGGCAAACTTTTCGCGTTTTTAAAGGAAACTTAATTGCATTTCAATTTACGCTCGTCCAAAAAAAAAAACAAGAAAAGCAACTGACGTGTGGTACGGACAACGACTACGGCGTAAACAAACTGTTCCATCCATATGCCACTCACAGCTGGCACTGTTGCGCGCTCCGACTCGTGCGAATGGCTGCCGCCCGCTCTGCCCGCGGGCGGCAGGTGTGCGACGGTAACGATGCTGCTCGCCCGCCGGATAGCACGCGGCAGCGATTGTTGGTCAGTCGACGCCGAGCCGCGCTACCGTGCGAACAAGATGAACGTCTGGCAGACGTTGGAGTATCTGTCCGGCCTGGGTCTGCGCAAGCGTTACAACTATGAGGGATTCGCGGATACGCAGCATCTGATACGCACACTGACGCCGTCCTGGCGCCGGGACAGCTTTGCGGAGCGGTCGAAGGCGGAGGATGCGGCCGCAGCTGCGGCCAGCGGCGCCGGCAATGCCAAGTACGTGGATGAGCGCGGCATCGGCAGCGTTGCCGATGTCGTCTCCGCCACCATGGCCAGGTGCATACCCAGTTTCCAGTCCAACGATAATCTGGCCTTGAGTCTGCAGGGCGTCGCGTCCATTGCAGCTGCTCCAAGACGCAAGCGTCACAGTCGACGCAAATCGCCCGTGCTGGATGCAGAGTACGCGCTCAGCCAGGACGATTTACAGGATCTGGTCAAGTGCACGTAAGATCTAACGAATCCCCCAGTTCAAGAAATTTAATAGACTTAACATATCACGAGAATATCTTTAGAATACCTTACACCATGAAAATTCGAAACGGAATCCTTCCGCTCCGGAATCCTAATCTCATCATATCTTTGAAAGTTCAGTGCTGCCTTTTTAGCTTTTTTCTAGCTAAATTCAGATCTTTTTCTATACAAATATTCCCAACACAACTTTTTTCTAGCTAAATTCAGATATTTCTTTTAGTGGCAGCTGTTGATATGTTAAACTGATTTATCTTTTTTCTGGGCATCTAACTAATAAATGCTCGGAAATCTTATTCTGGTTTTATTAAAGTCGAGCTCAGCTAATTTTAAAAAATTTGGCAACACTGATTCGTGTTATTATTGTCATTATTTGTATTAGTATTATTATTATAATACTCCTGCTTCGTGTTGTTCGATTGTCAGAAGATGGCTCTATAAAAAATCGGCAGACCCTGAGTTGATGACAATTTAATTTAAATTTTCCGAATTGCTTAAAATTCTCAACAAGTTAAAGTTTGTTCTAAATCTAAACAAACTACTTGCTCAATATTTGATTTTCAAAGCTATAAAAAAATATATATATTCGTTCTTCAAATATACAATTAAGATAATGGATACAAAACTATGCTAGCTAGATTTTAGATTTTTATAGATATAAAATGTTTATTTATTCGAAAATATATTATAGGATATTAAATTAACCTAAATATTTTGGACAGCATATCCTATGAAATAGATCTCTAAAAGCTTATCAACCGAACAGTAAAAATAAACTTAACCGTAACTTAAATAACTTTCAGTGTATACAGTTGGAAAAAAGCTTTCCAAAAAGCTTAGCAGCTACACAAACCGACAGCCAAAAAGCTTTTGATGCACTTCACAAGACGTTACAAGCCAAGTAGGGAATATAGAAAAAAATAAACTTAAAATCGTGATGGATAAAAATTGAATTTATCATAAGGAATTCAGAGCGAAAACCTGCATAGATTTCGCAGAAAATATTTTATTCCACGGATTTAAGCCAACTGCTTTTTGCCCGTTGCGAGCAATTACATTAGGAACATTCCGACAATCCTGAATTCGTTCCGACAACTTGACCATGACCAGAGCTCAGTCAACTCAGAAATGTCGTCGACTTGGCTGTCTTTGTTTTGTTTTCCGCCTTCAAGGCGCGGCTCTAAGCTGCCAGATGCATTTGCACCGCAGAATAAACATAAACTCGAGTCGACGACGGACTCGACGCTGCATATTATTGCCACAAAGGAATTGAAAAGACGCACAAAGCAAAGTCCAACAAAATTAAAAAGAAAAATTAAACCAGAAAAACTATTGCAATGGACAGAAACCCAACTGCGAGCTGCTCTGTGGCCAGTGTTGGTTAACAGCTAGAACAGAGTCTAGTTCCGTTTGTTAAAAGTTGTTCCAACTGCAAGCTCCAGAAAAAATTGTTGTAGTTCGCCTTTCGGTTCACGGCGTGAACCTGGTTCCTATGCATATGCTTTCGAACTACTAGTTCAGTTCCAGTTTCAAATACGTTTTGCAGCCCTGGTTAGAACAGTTCACAATAAGTGTTCCCAGTTTGAGCCTTATTAAATTACAAAAGTGTGCCCAACATTTAATCTAATGCATTTAGCTTGAAAATTGTGTAATAACTAAATATAATACTTATTTGTGTGAGACTTAAATTAATACTTATAGTTAAAAAAGTTCCAAGTATTCTAATATACCCTGTTCTCCTTTAAGCAACAGTCTATAAAAATGGGAACTTGAATTATTTGTTGTTGTCAAGGTGTCAACGGACGGGATTTTGCCCATTGCAAATGCAACCTTGTGCTCGGCGGCTTGAGGGTATTTCTTGAGGCTGTAATTTAAAATGGCAGCCGTGTGATTCTTAAAGTTGCGAGCTAGGCAAGCACGTGGTGCACGATAAATTGCCACGCGAAAAGAAATGTAAATAGTCCCCCTCCCCCCCCGCATTCCTGGCATTTGGCCGAGAATGTGGCCAACAAGTTTGCATGGAACGCCAAGTGTTTGCTCAATTTCTGCGCTCAATGTCGATTAGAGGGAATTATTGTATGACTGCCTAGCATGAAACCACCTGGCCATCAACCCAAATAGTTATCTGGTTTCAGCACATTCGAGCACCTCTGTGTGCTGGTGGCAACCCTGCCACTGACAGTCCCGTTATGAGTAGTCCAACATGTGAAACATTTCGTTGGAACACGACGCTGACAGCCATAAAATCTGGCAACGAGTAAATGAAAATAGAAACTCGAGAAACTAGTTTCATGTACAATATTTAGTTGGACGACGATTATAAAAATAGAGTTGTCACCTGAACAACCTTCAAGCATTGCCAATCGATACACTGGCAAAATTATTGTTTAATTTGAGAAAATCAAGAATTCCTAAAAACTAAAAGAATGTAAGGAGCAAGTGTATTTCTCTTGAGAACTTTGCAATTTGTTGACTTCCTCCCGGTTTCGTAAACATTTAACGGGAAAGGAGCACAAGAATTTATCAATAGTTGATTTCTATAAAAAAAAATGGTTTAAATGGCGCGTCGTCTACTTTTCTTCTTAATTTCCTTTTGCAGCTTGTTCGCAAACGTTTGGCTGCTTGTATTCCAAAATGAATTCAATGCATTCAATGAAATGGAGAGATGAAATGCTTTAAGTGTTCTCAGTGCTTTTACTGTTCCCACATTTGCTCTCTCTCACTCTCTCTTTCTCTTAAGCTCGTACAGGTTTTCAATTCCCTTTTACAGCTTATTCGCGAACGTTTTACTTCTTCAATTTAGCTTTGCGTGCTATTCGTAAGCTTTTTATCAATAGTAGATAGATTTCTATATAAATATGCATTGAATGGCGCTTCGTTTACCTTACTTCCTAATTTAACTTTGTAGCTTATTCGCAAACGTATTTACTGCTTGCATTGAGATAGAGAGAAGAGTTGCGCTAACTGTTCTCAGTTCTCTTACTGTTCCCACATTTGATCTCTCTCTCTTCAATTCACTTTTACAGCTTATTCGCGAATGTTTTATTTCTTCAATTCCGCTTTGCGTGCACATTCGTAAACATTTTACTGACAATCTTGAAACAATTTCGCGAATAGTTTATTTTCACGTTTTTCGGCTGTGCAAAATGCGAACTTGTTGACACAGAACGTTGTGTATTTGTCATAATATTGACATTGGTGTCATGTCATTAAACCAAACATTAAACGCTTAGCGCGAACATGCGATGCCGCGAGACCCGCCCACTCGGCCGGGAGCTGTAGCTGTAGCTGTAGCTGGAACTCTGTGCCTGTGCTCGACCTGGCCGTATCAGGCGGGCTGTAACACGACACGCTGCCACATTAAAGTGAATCGCAGCCGCAGCACATGGCACTCGACCCTTCTCTTGTCACATGTGTGTGCGTGGGTGTGTGCACAGGTGTGTGCACACATGTGTCTCAGCAAAAAAAGGAAAAAACAAAAAGGAAGAAAAAAACGTTAGCGAAACAAAACAAGAATCCTCAGACGTTGGGCGCCACATTCGAGCGTCGACAGTGCCGCAAGTCGTTTAAATTTGAGCAAAGCAACGCGAATATTCACCTGTTCCCAGTCGTAAGCATAGGACCCATGTCAACATGGGCAGCGCCAAGCTAAAGCGTCTAAAGCCCAAAAGTGCCGAGGACATGGAGCTGGAGGAGGATTTTCTAGTCGATTTTGTGCAATGCACGCTGGAGCCGCCCGAGAGGTAAACTCTACGCTAAATAGCTCTTAATATGTAGATATGAAATTTATGTACATATTACCCGGCTTAGCGCGTGCAAGGAAGTTATCACTAAATTTTAAATGAGTTTGTAACCAGTTTACTGACTAGAATTTCCAAAATGAGTTAAAATACTATTTGACCTACATTTCCACTTAAGTGCGTGAAATTTTCAAAAAGTGTGAATTGATATAAATATTCATAAAGATCTTTAGAATTCAGTTTGAGCCTGAAAACTTTAACTACAAAATATGTAACAACCCTTTCCACCAAACAGTAATAATATTTATATATAATAATAATATATAATAATAATATATATTTAATAATATTTAAATATACAATATATGTGAATTAATATAAATATTATTAAATATAAATTATATTAAATATTAGATCTTTAGGAGTCATCCATCAAGCAGTAATAATATTTATATATAATAATCTTAGTTACATCATATTTAATTATATTTCTCACTAATTTTCCACCCATGTGAGTGGAATTTCCACGTATTGCACAAAGGTTACCCACTAGGCTCTGGGCCGACCCTCAGTCAGTCAATCAATCAGTCTGGCGGTCAATCAGTCAGTCAGGGCTTAGAGTTTTGTTTAGTTAAATTGCGTTTCAAATTTGTGGCTTTCATTGCCCTTTGGCTACGTGTTGCACTTATCAATTTTAATGCGCTGCAAACGAGTCGAGGCCGCGGCGAACGCATAAAAGTCAAGTGCTCGGCAATTTATGCACGTCCCTCGCATTAATTTACGCTGCATACTTCGAGGCGTCGCAGCTTCCAGCTCACAGCTCTCTGTTTTATATTAGTTCGACTTTCGTCTTTCAATTAGCTGAAGCAGCAAGACTTTCGCTGTAAACTAATATAGCTTGACATTTCGCTGAGTAGGACGCTAATTGAGTCATAAATAAAATCAATGGCAAATTATGCGGAGAGCCTGCTGCATATGGTGGGAAGCATGCGATATCATATGCAGGACCTTTACGTATTTGGAATATTAATGAGCTTGGCCTTGAAGTGAAAATGTGCAAGTTGATTTTCAGATAAAATAAAGAAAGAAATGAATGCATCGATCTCAGAAACTACATAAGCTGGACATTGAAATTTGTGATATATTTTATCCTTTATACTAAAAGCCGAACGATTTTATCCATTCTGTCGACACCTTTTCCTATTTTTATGATATCGATAAATATCGATTTTGAGACACA